ATGAAGGCGCCTAAGTAAAACCTTAACCAATTCATTGTCCTTTTAAAGGAGTGGCATGTGATCTTCTTCAAGCCTAAATGCGTCTGAAAGAACTCTTTCAATGCATGCGATGAAAATTCTAAGGCGAAGGCATGGTGTCATTGTTCAGCTGATAGTGACATTTCTTTCACCGTAGTGTGTAACACATGGGCGCTATTTATGTTCACTGAAATACACATTGTTATCTTGACTTCGCAGCTGAGAAAGCTGAAATCTAGAGAATTCCATATCTTGCTGAAGGTCACGCAGGAATAAGCCACCAGGCAGGCTTCCAGGCCAGGCATCTATGCGTAACCCCTCCCCTTACATACTGTATCACTTACTTCTTGGTTGTTGTCTAAGAGGCTGATTTCAAACCCCTCTCTCTAATGCTGCAGATATTCACCCACCACAGCCCAGTCTGAACATGTGGCATATGTCATTCTGTCCATGAAACCCACAGTTTCTGATCCCATGAAGGCAACGCAAGAGGGAACGAGGCAGTGTCCAGCCCTCTGAGAAGTGACCATTAAGAAACAGGGGACAAAGTGTTCCGCAAAGAACAGGTAAATACAGGGCAGGGGACACAATGGTACAATCTGTACAATGCTTGCCTTGCACGCATGAGGACCTGAGTTTGCTCCCAGAACTCATTAAAAAAAAAAAAAAGTGATTCTTCCTCCTATGACAATTCCTAAAGAAAAGACCTCTGCAAAGGAACAGGAGGGGAGGGCTGACTTATCCTGAAAGTACGTCCTAGACCCCTGAAGTCACCAATGCTCTGAGCTGGGCCTTTAGCAAAATGCCACAGTGACCATTTATTAAACCCAGACCATTCCTTGATCCAAATACCTGGAGACATGTGTGGTGGGAGAAATGAACGTTTAACATGGAGAGACTTTGGATGGCTCCCCAGGGAGGCAGGAACATCACAGCTGGAGCCCTGGAGCACTGCTACCCCGCCCCACATAGCATAGTCCTGTATTTATCGCACAGCCAAGCCCCTGACAAGATTTGCTCTGCACAACCATAGGCCTTCCTGAATCACTGCCCCCCCCCCCCAACGCTCACAAGACTCAGAAAGTCAGGGCCAACCCTGAAGGGTTCTCACTGGTGACCCTAAACCCAGCCTGCCCTTGGTGACGGGTAAAAGTACCCAGCTCTGCTGGCTGCCTGCTCTTCAGCGAGGCAGTTATGGGGGCCTTCATAGGTTTGCTAAGACCACAGTTATTGGTGAAATTATTAAGGCCACTCCACGTAGTTAAAAGGGAGGTTTATTTTGTGCAGTAAGTTACAAGTGAAGGAATAGGCAACAGGGTCTGGGAAGGGTGTAGCATAGTCCGGCAGTGTTCTCTGGAGAACTCTGCTCAGTCTACCTCCAGCGTCCAGGGTCCAGGAACCAAGAGAGCCGGCCCATCTGGATCTCGGGTCTTCAGGGTCCTCTCTCAGCCCTGACTTGTAGGCGTGACAGTTACTGAAGCCTCAATGGGGGTGGCACTTCCAGATCAAAGCTGGAATGGCTACCCACTACACACAGTAAAAGAGCTTATCCTGGAGAGGTGTAACGACACAGGCCTAAAACCTCCGTTCAGTTAGAAGAATGGCAAGTTCTAAGGCAAGCCTGGACTACACAGTCAGAGTGGTCTTAAAGTTATCAAATGAAATGTAAATACACTTAAAGATTTTTCACAGATCACAGAGCCACGTAACTCAGTGCGTGCTGACACCGTGTGCTGGTTTCCCATTCTTCCGTTTTCTGTCTCTGAGGCATGCCTGAATCACGATATTTACCTCCAATATCACAGAGAGTGAGGATCATCTGACCCATTCCCCAGTCACAGAGGTCATTATCTGAGAAGCTGGTTTTACACTCCACAGAGCTTGCCTTACGCAGACCGTCCCAATCTTCCTGCTTGCCCAGGAATGGTGCTGATGACCCTCTGGGTCTCTGCCTGAAGATCCTCTCGACTCAAGGGAGGGACCACTCCATTCCAAGTGCCGAACTTGCACCTGGTCCTTCTTGTTTCAGACCATAGACACAAGTCATCCATCAACTGAGGATGCCACAGGGGACATGAAATGCCTGTGACCTCACCCCCCCACCCACATTGCTATACTGTACTTAAACCTTCCATTGCAATATCCTAGGCTGTGGATTTAGAGCAAAGGCTCAGCAGTTAAGAACACGGGCTACTCTTCCAAAAGCCCTGAGTTCGACTCCCAGCATCCACATCAGATGGCTTGCAACTGCAGGCAACTCCAGCTCCAGGGGATCTGATACCTCTGGCCTCCATGGGTACCTATATTCATGTTCACCAACATACACAGATACACAGACACACAGACACAGGCACACACACACAAATGGCTGCCCGGGGCCAGCTCTTCATGGACACCAGAGCAATGGACAGGCAGCACAGACTGGAAGAGGTCAAGTAAGAGCTTCCAGGTCATCAGCAGTGTGAAGTGGTCTCCATTGTGAGGGACCTGGTCCTGGATACACAGGTAGACACATATATTCCCCAGGCAAGAGTTCCTTAAGAAAGGTGCTCTGTGAACACCCCAGCCAGATGTCCCTCAAATTCCCAGTGGGGAAGGTTGCCAACAATCCCAGATGGTACCACAGCTTAGCCCCAGGCTCTCAGAATGGGCCGCAGGAACACTGAGCAGGAAGCCTCTCAGGATTAGGAACTGCAGGCAGCAGTGGGTGGGTCACCACGTCGTGGGTCGGTCACCACGTCGTGGATCAGGCTCTGAAGGGGGGTGGAGGGCTTGAAACAGAGCCCATCCGATGAAGCTTCCCCAGTTTTCTCAGCTAGCCAAAAAGCTAAAACTAAAAGCCCCATGCCAGTCTGTAGTACGCCATCTTAATATCTGGCTGCACACACATGCACATACCCACACACAGACACACACGCAGACACACATAAATAAAATATCTTTTTCTAAAAAGTTTAAGGAATCTTCCCTGGGCTTCTAAAGACAGGATGTTGATGACCGAGTGAGGGAATTCTGCCTCTTGGATCACACTCTCTTCTTCCCTTGGGCTCCACAGAGGCTCAGCCACCTGTTCTCAGGGGAAGATGCATTGCCTAAGCAAGGCAAAACCCTAACTCAGAGACAAGACTGCATTCCATCTTCTTTTTTTCCCTCTCTGCAAACGAGGCCATAACTCCAACTAAGTGGCACGGGGAGGCAGTTACGAGGCAGGCCCCACGCTCACCCACCATGTTCGAGGGTTGTAAATGCCACGCTTGGCTGCATCGGGGACCAAGTGGCTCATTAGCTGCAGCATTAGTGGTTAACGACGTGAGGAACAGAAGCTGCCAGGCGCCTCGCTCCTTCTTAAAACACCATTGAAAACCCATACGTGTAATTATTACACCTTCCCGTTTAATTCTGATTCCTCTGAAGCTGATGGGCTGAACGCTCATCCATCCCATTAATCTCAGAGATCTCTTCAGGGCTGTCATTTACATAACTGGGCTAAAGATCCATCCATCCCACTCCGGGGAGTCTGGAGTCCAGCCACTGGTCTGCTGCCGCTGGGCTAATTTCGTGAACTTGCTTGAAGGACATACCCCACAGCCTTGATCACCCCACCTCTCCGCTGGGCTCTGAGTCACCTTCCCACATGCCTGACACTGCTATTACAAACATCAAGTCAAACAGCAAATGCCAGTGTGTGTGTGGGGGGGGGGGTGTTGAAATAGCAGTCAAATGACAGAACAAGATACTGTATACTTATGTTCTCAAGCTACCGGGCATGGGCAGAAACCTATCTGTTAAGAGCTGCTGGCATAAAGAGAGTGTGATCTGAGACAGCACCATGTTCTGAGTCCAGCTTTCGTGTGTGTGTGTGTGTGTGTGTGTGTGTGTGTGTGTGTGTACGTGCATACGCACATATATATGTCTTCACATTCATGTGTGCAGGGCCATGAGAATGTGCGTACACATGGTTATTGAGGCCGGAGGTCAAGCTCACATCATTCCTCAGGTGCTACCTCCCTTGTTTTTGGACTGCTCTGAGCTAACCATGAAGTCAAGCTTACTAGTCAGTAAAGCCCAGGACTCCACCTGTCTCCACCTCCCCTTTGCAGGATCACAAGTGTCGGCCACCTCCCAAAGATTCTTTACACGGACGGGTTCTGGGGAAGGACAGACAACACTTCACTGACATGTCTCCCCAGCCCTATTACCAACTTCTAAAAGGAGCTGTCTCACATCTGTTGGCTCCCACCACACACAGAGCTCACCAACATCGTTGGAATCACAGCCATCTGGTGGCTCCCACCACACACAGGGCTTACCAGCATCGCTGGAATTACAGCCCATGGAGCAACGGGTCCACTGTCTAAAGCCCTGGAGAAGATAACCTACATCCCAGACATGGCCCCTCGAGAGCAAACTACGTCAGTGGGGTGTGCACAGGTCCTTTCCAAGGACTACGTCCTTTCCTGGGGAACCATGCTGCCCTCTACTCAAACCTGAAACTTCCATCAGGACTCTGAGGAAGAACTTGGGGGTCACTAAACTTCTTTGTTCCTTTTCCCAATATGGTCACACTGGATAAATCTCCGTCCCCTGCATTGCACGGCGACTTGTCTGCTTAACTGGCATATTGGAGACGGTGGCTGAGCCTGGCTTTTAGGGTTGCCAGTGCCCAGGCTCTGAGCCTGACAACAATGATAACATAATTGCCACACTGTATGAATGTGAGTGTGTGTGTGTGTGTGTGTGTGTGTTTTGCCGGGCATTGACCTTGAGCCTGGGACTTGGCACATGCTGGGCAAGTGCTAACCATTGAGCTCCCTCTCCATCGCTCTTATTTGGAGACAGTCTCTCTAAATCACTCAAGCTGGCTTAGAATTCACAGTGTAGACTAGGCCCTGACCTTGCAACCCTCCTACCTCAGCCTCCCAGGTAGTGGGATGACTTCCACGTGTTAATCAATGACAAAATGTGAGCGCCTTGGCAGTTACCTGAGAGGGCCAGCACCTTGGCTTCCAGCAAGGCAGGCAGCTTGGCGTCAAGGTCACTGAGTCTCCTCCTCAGAGAGCTGCACAATCTCTCACCTGAGCACACCTACAAGGAGAAATGGCAGGAATCAGTGTCCATTGTTACCAACTAGAGGGTAGCCGGCCTGAGGGGTCCCGGTGTCTAAAGGAGCTGAGCTGATTGACAGAGAGTAAGCAGAAGGTGGGCGGGGCTTAGGAAGCAATGGGGTTAGGAGGAAAGAGGGAGAGGGAAGAGGGGGACAAGAGGGAAGGAGGGGAGAGGGGAGGGGAGAGAAGGAGTAGAGGCAAGAGAAGGGAAGGAGGGGAGAGGAGGGAAGGGGAAAGAGCGGGGAGGGGAGGTGGCAAAGGGAGAGAAGAGAGAGAAGAGGGGAAGAGGAAGAGAAGCTGCCCCTGGCATGCCTCAGCACAGCCCTGGCCCTCACAGGCTGCTGTGAGCACACTCACTAACTCCTGCCTGAGTACTCAGCCTCACAGCCTCACAGCCCTGGGCGATTTGCTCTGATGCCCTGGGAGGAAAGGCCTCGCTGATTTCCTGTCCCTTCCCTTCACCCAGTCTCCTCTGGCTTCCTCTCCAGTTTTTATCCCTCTGTCTCCCCCTCACCTCTCTACGATGATGCCCTTGAAGGAAGACTCTGCTCTGTCCCTGGCACACAGTAGGCAGTCAATTTAGATGTGGCTTTCACACCCAGGTCAGAGGAACCCGCTAAATGTCGTTACTAGAGGACTCTAGAGAAGCTAGAGGGACAGACACTTGCCTGAGAGTCCAGCTGAGGGACAGACACATCACTGTCAGGAAGACTTGTGGGTCATCAAGTGTCCCCGGACTTCGCACACACTGCTTGTTTTTCTTTGAGTTTCAAAAACAACAAAACTCTTCAACCTCAGTCCAGCTCCTCAAATCCCTTTAGGTTATCTTTTATGTTGAGACTAAAACATCACTTTTTTTTCTCTTATTTAAGGCTAAAAGCTCTTATTTATCTGTTAACTATATTCAGATTAGTAATATACCTGTATTTTCAGCTCACCAAAAGCACACAGCACAGTTTCTGTGGGAATAAAAATGGTGGGAAGTCCACAAAGGATGTAACTGCCCAAGCATCATTACTATTTATTTATTGACAAAATAAAAATATATGAAATCCCATTTGGAAACTGAAAGCAATCAGTCCACTTGGATTGAGCGCCCAGAGATGTAAGATTCGACTTCCCCATGCAGTCTACATCTTGAGGGATACAGTCAACTGTAAACACTGGCTTACCTGAGATCAAACAGAAGCTACCATCAGAATCAAAGCAGACCTCGCCCAGTCTAAAAACACTCCACCAGTCCTCTCCGGGATGCTGCAGTTTATTTCCCGCTCTGTGCCTTGGTTTTTCCAACCTCACTGTGTGTAACTCACAGCTCAGTCAGTCGGCCTCTGCACCAAAGCCTGCACAAGCTACTCATCCTCATGTCAGTCATTCATCCTGAGGCTCTTTCAGGAGTCCTGAGACTTGTGAGGATGTTAGAACCAAGAACTAAAAGGAAGATGTCCAGGGCACCTTCCCTGACCCTGTCTCAGCTGGTCCAAAGTTCCACGACAGGCCCCGCCCATCCTTTCCATCTCCAACTGTTATCTCAGGAAGTTCAAAGACTCACTAGTTAATTCTGTGACACAGCCAGAGTTCTCAGGTCCCATCTAACCCATGACTAATATTTCTTATTTTAGTTAACAGTGTCTCTTAATCATAATTAGGTCAGTTTCTCCTTTGCTGAGAAAGCCCATCGTTCAAGCTACACTATTAATATGAAACAGCCTTTCTAAATTTTCTGATTAAATTGCACACTCTTTCAGTCTCTGCTGGATATAATATAATATCTACCAATCTCTAGATATCCCAATTATTTCTAACTATTTCCATCTCATTTATCCCTTAATTACCTTTGGCTTGGGTAACCCATGAGAGTCAAGAAATGTAATGAGTATAAGGAAGGTTGCCTCTCTCTCTGAAAATATCAGAGGTTGAGCATCTACCCCCAGTCTGCCCTCCCTCCCTCCTTCTCTCCCTCGTGTGTGTGTGTGTGTGTGTGTGTGTGTGTGTGTGTGTGTGTGTGTGTGTGTATGTGTGTGTGTACTGAGCTGAGCCTATTGCCCCATGGGCACTTACCAGCCTACAGGGGTTAGGGTTTGGGTTAGACTTCCCAGGTGAGTCAGTTCGGTCACACAGCTCCTATGCTCATGTATGTGCAATGTAATCCACATACCCACCCCAGAGAAATCTGCATGTTTTCCTTATTTACAAATAAAATTAGCCCCTGAGGAACTCATTAAAGAACGGAAGTTTTACATTTACAATTTAAAATCTAAGACACGAGTTCCTTAATTTGATAGAAAAGCGAAGTCATTACAAGTTGACTATAAATATCTTAGGGATAGGATGTGCAACGGTGTGAGGGCTTGTGTCCCCCAAAAGTTCATATGCTGAAATCTTTCAGCTCCAGTGTGATGATGGGGTTAGGAGGCGGAGCTCTGGGAAGGAACAGGTCCTAAAGGTAGAACCTTACGAAAGCATAGGTACCTTTAGGAAAGGCCCTAGGGGGGGGTGGCTCAGGCAGTGAAGGTGTTTCCTTTGTAAACATGGGGACCTGAGCTGGATCCACAGAACCCGTGTAAAAAGTTGCACACTGTGGCACAAACTTGTAACCCCAGAGCTGGAGAAGTGGAAGCTAGAGGGTCCCTGGGGCTTGCTGGCAGCCAATGTAGCCTAATAGGTAAGCTCCAGGCCAACGAGAGACTCTGTCAAAAGAAGTGGATGGCGTTCCTGAATACAACACCTATGACTGTCCTCCGGGTGCACACACAGGCACACACACACAACAACAACAACAACAATAATAATAATAATGAGACCTTAGAGAGCCCTCCTGTTCTCTCCCTCTTTCCATCATGTGAGAACACAGCATGGAGTTGACATCCACGCCTCAGAAAAGATCCCCACAAGAACCTGGCCATGCTGGCACCTGGCCCTCAGCCCTCCAGCCCCGAGAGCTGCCCAGCCTCATTGCTTTGAGATCAAAACACACAAAGACAGAGATCCCTCCCAGCATTTAGAAAAATACAGCATCCTCGAGGTCTCTGGTAGTGGTCCTTCTAGCCCACCTTTGAGCCAGGCAAAACAAAAACCACATTTCAGTCCTCTTATCTGGGTGAGCAGCCCAGGGAGCTCACAGTGGATTTCAAGCATTCCTGAGTCCAACGTCCTTTTATAGACATTACTGGTTGCAGACAGGAATCCACCAAACTCTTGACCATGTAACCAGAACAAAACAATCAGATATACCTTTTGGAAGGGAAGAAAAGAAAAATAAGAAAAGGAGCAAACACATACAACCTTACTAACAACTATCAACATGGCAGTATGAGCATAGTTGTGTTGGACAAACGCCACTCAGCATGCTACCCAGTAAGGGTCCAAGCGTTCCCTTCTTCTCTGATTGTGTATGTGTGTGTGCGCGCGCATGCATGCATGTGTGTGTGTGCGTGTGTGTGTGTGTGTGTGCGTGTGCGTATGCGTGTGTGTGTGTGTGTGTGTGTGTGTGTGTGTGTGTGTGTGTGTGTGTATGCATGTGTGGGGAGGCCAGAGGTCAAATTTGGGGGTCTTCTTCATTCAATCTCCACATTTTTCTGACAGGGTCTCTCACTGAACCCAGAGCTCAGTGTTTCCACCAGGCTGGCTGCCTGTGAGCCCTGGGATCCTTCTGTTTCTGCCTCTCCAGTGTTGCCAATGCCCCCACACACACACACACACAAGTGTGGGCCACAGTGCTCACTCTTTGGGTTCTGGGAATGAAACTCACGGCCTCCCGCTTGTATGGCAGGCACTTGACTGACTGACCCCCGCCCCCCCATCCCTGCAGTCTTCCTTTCTCTGGTTATGAAAACAAACTAAGATTCCTCCCAGGTCAGAGGCTCTGCTCAGAAACTATTATTTGAATCCTCCATCACTGTGAAACTCTAGCTCCCAGTGATGGAGAGTTGAGGTGCAGGTGTCCATCACAGCACCTCAAGGCTACTCCCAAGGCATCTGGTCCCACAGCTCTGTCAGGTGACCACAAGGGAGGGCTCTGTTCTGTGAACTCTTTACCTAATCACCAGGACACAGACTGTGGCATTCAATGGACTCTACTTGGTCAACATTAGGGCTATACCTGCTGCTTTACATGACAGTGTCTTACTATGAAAGTACAGACAATGTGCTGGTTAATATTTAATTGGGGGTTTTGTTTGTTGTTTGTTGAGACAGGCTTCTGCCATATAGCCTTGGACTACATGGAACTCACAATGTAGCTAAGGTTGGCCTCGAACTCATAGCGATCTGCTTGTCTCTGCCTCCTGAGTGCTGAGATTAGAGGTGTGTGCCACCATGTCTGGCTAATGTTGATCGTCATCTTGACAGGCTCTAGAATCACCTAGGAGACTATCTCTGAACATGCCTTCAAGATTGGGTTAAAGAGTTGGGAAGACCACCCTAAATGTGGGTCTGGGGTCCTGGATTAAATAAAAATGAGAAGTGAGCTGAGCACCAGCATTCATCTCTCTGCTTCCTGACTGTGGATGTCATGTGACCAGCCGCCTCATGCTCCTGCCGCAATGCCTTCCCCACCATGATGGACGGCACCCTCAAACTGTGAGCCACAGTAAGCCCTTCCTCCCTTAAGTTGCTTCTGTCCCGTATTTTGTCACACAGTGAGAAAGGTGACTCATATAGACAAGTAATATTAACAAAATGATCTGAAAAACTGAAAAAAAAAAACCTACTTCATCCAATAAACCATTTCCCTTTCTGAGAAGCCTGAACTTGAACTCCCAGGAGAAGCTAATTACTTCCATCCTAAAAACCTTGTTTGTCCACTCATATGTTCGTGACAGCATCTTGCTATGTAGCTCAGGCTGGCCTTGAACCCTTGACCCTCCTGCCTCTGCCTCTGGAATGCTGAGATTGCAGTTAGGAGCCATACAGCTCACTCTAAAAGCCTTTTTAAACAAAGGCATTCAGCATCCCAACACGGTCCTTTCCCAGCCTCTGGACTGAAACCCCTTCTGAAGCCAAGGCCAGTGGTCCATTTGGAAGTGACCATGGGTGGAGAACTCTGTGGAGGCAGCAGCTCCCCCTCCCCAGCTCTTCTTCCCTGCCACAGCCTGGGAAATGGGTCCACAAAGTCTGTTTCCTCTAAAGCCTCAGTGACCGGGATGTGAAATTAGGTTAGAAGAAAATGGGGGGAGGGGAGGCTTACCTGAGCGGTGATTTCTCTAACAACCAGGTTCAGCGATTTTGTCCTTTCCCGGAGGCTAGAAGAATTAGAACAAAGCATAGGTCTTCTTGGCAATCAAGGTGGATCTCTACACATGTAAGACACTACCAACAGGAACCTTCCATCACCCAAGGAACTGAAGAGGATCAAGAAGAAGGTGACACCTGGCTGGGTTGACATGACCACGGAACTGACACATGGCTAGGAAGCAGATCCCCCCCTCTCTAAATATGCTTTACTTAGGCTGCCATTAAAAATCTGTCTTCAGGGGCTGGGGAGAGGGCTCAGTCAGCACAGTGACTGTCACACAAGCATGAGGACCTGAGTTTGAGCTCCTAGAGAATGGGGCAGAACCCACATAAACAAGCCAGGCATAGCAGTAAACATTTGTAGTCCAGCCCTGAGGATATGGAGACAGGCAGATCCCTGTGTATCACAGCCACCCAGCCTAGCCTACTTGGTGAGTTCCAGGCCTGTCACAAAAACAGGCAGGCCAGGTGTAGCAGCACACATTTGATCCCAGCACACGGGAGGCAGAGGCAGGCGGATCTCTGTGAGTTTGAAGCCAGCCTGGTACACCTAGAGAATTCCATGGCAGCCAGCACACACAATCTGTCTTCATTTCCAGAGCAGCGATGGAAGGAGCCGCCCTGATTACAGAAAACCTGGAGCCCTGTAACCAGCTTCCTAAAGGAGTGGGCCACCAGAGTGGCAGCGAACTGCTGGCATTTGAGTGGGCAGGTCAACAATCCAAGAAGGAAGGAATGCCAGTGCCTCTGCATTGAGCCTCAGTGAAAGCAAACAGACACACATCTCTCATATTTCTCAAGAATAACTAAGTCAGCCGGCATTCCTTTCCCAGGTGTCTCTAACCTGTGACCCATCAGGATAACTATGAATGCCCTGAAACATAATCATAAAGTTACTTAAAACACTACGGGACACTTTTGCAATGTGTTGCATGAACCTTATAGTCAATAGTGCCTGCCATAAGGTAAAAGGTTGGACATGCCTGTGGGTCTCAGGTTCTTTTTCTCCTGAGTACTTCTCTTCATATGTCTCCCCAAACTGTAAGTTCCATGTGAACAGCATCCATCTGCTGGGTTCACTCCCTCACGAGAAGGGCTCAGGGAGTGGGCACACTGGAGCAATAAGAACACCATGTCTAGAGTCCACTGCTCCATGGACTTATGCCTTGCTTATTCTTCCAACACCTCAGGGCAGTCAGTTATGCAGGGCTCAGAGCACAAGGCACAGCTCCTGCCCTCAACCACTCATGGCTGCTAGGAGGGCAAGACAGTGTAACAGCTGCAAGGAGTGTGTGTGTGTGGGGGGGGGGGGGCTGCTTGATTAATACAGGGCAGTCTGCAAGAGGAAGAGGTCCCAGTTTCCAGGTCTATGTGTGTGTGGCAGGGGCGGTGGGGGGGAGGAGTTACAGAAAAGTCTTCCACAGCAGTGACAGCAAAGAATAATTTAGAGATAAGCTACCATCAGTAGATGTATGTTGGGGTTCTTCTCCAGCTACGAGAACTGTTGGGGGATGCTATCATCTCTACACATTTGTGATTTCTGAAGCCTAGGCAAGCTGGGAGTGCAAGCTCCTAGAGACTGGGGCAGGCACCTGCTGGCATTCTCACTTGTAACCTGTACCAGATGAGGGGCCGCTGGTGAAAGTGAAATCAACCCAAACCTAGATGACAAGCACAGGCGAGGGGCAAGGCACATGGCAACAGCCTCTTCTGAGTCAGGAGTCACCATCTGCCAAACCTGAGTGCACAGATAGGTATGAGAGGAAGCCTGGAGCACTTCAGACCTCGGCTAGATGGAGACAGGACATTGAGGGAAGGTGAATCTGGGCGTCAGCTTATGTGGAGAGCAAGACAGGACAGACCAGACCGCGTGGGCTGCTGGGGAGAGGGGCAGAACACGGGAGACATGGCTTGGCTCCAGCAGCTGCACTGGCTCTGGAGTCTGCGATCACACTTGTCACCTTCTTCAGGAAGAGTGTCCCTTCCTCTGCCGGGCTCACTGGAGTCTGTTCAAACAGGACATTTTCGTTTGCTTGCTTGTTTTGCTTTTTTTGACAGGGTTTCACACAGATCAGGCTAGCCTTGAACTCACAATATAGCTCAGGATGACCTTGAAATCCTGATCCTCATGTCTCTGTGTTCTGGGTGCTGGGATTACAAGAGTGCACCATGACACTAAGTTTTTTGGGGGTGCTAGAGGTCAAATGTAGTCCTTTCTGCATACTATGCAGGCATCCTACCAACTGAGTGAGCTACGTCCCCAGCGCATCAGCTAGTACCCTCTTAGTCAATGGCTCTCCACATAATAGAACCTTTGAGCATTTAACAGCACAATAGACTGTGCTGTTGTATTATATATATATATATATATATATATATATATATATATATATAATGGCACAATATATTCCCAAACACACTAAAAAACTAGTTCATGAATTTACATATTAAAACAGACAGCAGGTTCTCTGAGTCTAAAACTGAGCTAGCCTCAAGGACAGCACCTTTAGCAAATGTCCCATGTCCCCAGTGAAAAGCAGGCCAAGTACCACCTTTCCAAGGGTGGTCTCAGCTCATGGCTCTGGGCTCTGATCTGGCCTAGGGGGAAAATGAGCTTCAACTCAAATATCTCAGTGAGAGGAAGTAGTGATGCGGATAATTGAATACATTGTTTTATATCTGATTTGATTTATATTTAATTTATGCTATATTACTTTTTTCAGTAGATTTATTTTCCTAATTATGTGTTGCTCAGGCTAATATTAACATTAGTTGTATCCCCAGGGGATACACAGAATGGAAGCCATGGAGGGGGAGAGACTATGAATCATCCATGTATATTGCACTAGCAGGTTTCAAGCTATTTTTAGCATTTCACAGAACCCAAAGTGCAACATAGATAGCAGAGGATCTAACAGGACAGGGGTGTCTGAAGTACAGTGAGTCATGTTAACTCCACCCACATGTGATGCTGCTACCACTACCCTGCAGTTCCCAGGAGCAGGAATACCCACTGAAAATACATTATACCAGTTGAATGTTAACAAGGGGTCCATGTATGTCGGTAACAAAGCTTGTCGCCATGTTTCACTAAGATTACGTATTGAACATGACAAATAAGAGCCATCCCTTCAGATCTGGGTGTGGTGACTCATGCCTGTGATCCCAAGCACCTAGATGGTAGGGAAAGGAGGATCGGGAGTTCAAGGTCATCCTTGGCTTCATAGCACAGTACAGGCCTACCTGGGCTATGTGAGGTCTTGTCTCAATAAACAAACAACCATGAACTATCCCTTCAGATCAAAGGATGCTGCACTAGGATTCAGCGTTATCTACCCAGATGCCCCTGTTTACAGAAAGTAACCTCTTCATTCACAACAACTGTCCTAGAAATAACAGAGTCAAGGGCTAGGGAGATATCTCAGCTGGTAAAGTGCTTTGCACACAAGCAGGAGAACCAGAGTATCACCCACAGAACCAGGCATTTACACAAGCCATGGGGCTGGAAAGATGGCTCAGCAGTTAAGAGCATTGGTTGCTCTTCCGGAGGACCCAGATTCCATTCCCAGCATCCACATAGCAGCTCACAGCTGTCAGTAACTCCAGATTCAGGGTATCTGACATCTTCTTGTCCCTCTGGGCACTGCATGTATGTTGTGCATAAACATACATGAAGGCGAAACACCCATACACATAAAGTAAAATAAAAATAAAACATTTTTTAAAGCCAGATGTGGTGGTATATGCTTCAGGTTTAGTGAGGGGCCTGGGCTCAAAACACAAGGTGGATAGCTACTGTGGAAAACACCTGAGATTGGCCTCTGTCCACCACACGTACCTGCACACACGAAGAAGAGCAGAAGGAGGGGGAGGAGGAAGAGAGGGGAACAGTGGGAGGGGAGGGGGACAGAGGAACTTCCTGCGAGGATACATGGAAGATGGTCTGCAAGTCAGAGGCCCTCAGACTTCTTGATCCAGGACTTTAGCCTCCACTCCAGGACAGTGACGTCACTCCTTCCCATCGCCGCTGCTATGGAAGCCCAAGAGAACTCATACACACGGGATCCTCAGTTTCCACTAAGATTAACTTTATGTGTTATTCAGGGCCTGCACACTGGGTTGGGGGGGGGGCAGAAGCAAGGAGAAAAGGAAGGAAGGGAGAGAGGGAGGGAGGGAGGGGCAAGGGAGGGAGGGAGGGAGGGGAGAAGGAGGAAGAGGAGAGAAAGGCAGGAGGGTGGAAGGAGAAAGGGAGGGCGGGGAGAGCTGTTTTTCCATGCAGTGGTCCTACCACAGACTCTGCCACCCCGGCACACAGCTGTATCCCCAGAACTGCCTGTGTGGATATCTATCTGACTTTTGTACAAAGCTACAGAGAGTGGAATACCCCCAGTCTTCTCTATCTCCTTTTTCTCCCCATGGCCCCAATTCCACAACCTTCCTGGTTTAGCAGAATTTAGTTGAAGAACAACAGACTGTCTCCAAAGCAAACAAGAAACGACAGAAAGGGCACGAAGCAGCTACGCCGAGCATGGAGGCTCCTTGGGTCTTCAACTGAACAGAAAGCAGGGCTCTGTTGACATTAACAACCCTGCCAATTACTGCTTAGTCCTTCAGCCTTCTGCAGAGGACAAGTGGGTCAGAAAGTGACAAGGGAGACTGCTGTAGAAAACGAGGACTTATCCACTTGGCCTTTTCCCTCCTGAAACCCTTACGTCCTCACTGCTGATAATGTCACACGTCACCAGTAGGACGTCCGTGGGACACAGATGGCAAAAGTGTCCTCAATTCCTCTAGACTTGGGATGGCTCACTGAGGCAAGACAGGACACAAAAATGCATCAGGACTGCTCCTTAAAACCTTGTCAGGGGCTGGTTAGCTGAGGCCTGTGCTCCTGGGACAGGCAGTGTGGTGCAATGGACAGAGACACATACCAAGGGGCAGGTGTCCAGTGCCCACATGCCAGCTTTGGTGAGCACGCCCCCTCTTCTATACACTTGGGTGGCAGGGC